TTTAATCTGTTATTCCTTAACAGATCGAATAAAAAGAAGCTTCAAAACTCTCAAAGTTTATTAAAGAAAAAGACAAAATATTTGTAAGTAGAAAAAAGCAAAATCCCAAGTATCACAAGAAAGGTGTTGCAAAAGATTATTCTACGCTGACCTCAACTGCTCTACACTGACACTACTTCTACCATGCTCAATTTATAAGTAAATGATAATAAGTAGTTTGCAAGACCAGGTAGAGATACACGTCTTACTAAAAGGCATTTAATGCTTGCATTAAATGCATCAATGGTAATCTCTATGATCAACAAAGAAGACAGACAAAGAAACTCATGAAGAAAATTGAAAGTTCAACTCAAAGTTATTGTAACAGACATCTTCTCTAAAAATACTCTAAAAGGATCAAGCCTTCAAACAACTTTTTTGGAGAAGAATTGAAAATAAAAAGATCGACACATATTAAAAAATTCGTATTGAGAAGCATATTGAAACATACAAAGCTAAAGTACTAAAAAGAAGTTTTTCATTGTAAATCTTATACATAGTTATTTATAGACTATTTGTGCATAAATTTCATAGCATCACATCTAGAAGAGATGAAGTTATCCTTGTAACTCTTTTCAAATCTATTTGTAAGGATTGAGCCTGAAAAGGCTTGTTCAACAGAATACTTGGTGTTGAGCCTAGAGAGGCTTATTGAAAGAATACTTAGTGTTGAGCCTAGAGAGGCTTGATTGAAAGAATACTTGGGTAGTTTCTTGAAGTGACAAGTCAAAGACTACTTAGGTTTGACCCAGAAGTGGCTTGTTTAAAAAATACTTATATCTTTTGAAAGATAGTGGCATTCAATCCAGTTGGATTGAGAACTGGACGTAGTCTCTAGGTTTGGGATGAGCCAGTATAAAAGATCTATGCTCCTTCGTCTGTTGCATTCCAATGCTTTATCTGTAAAGTCATTTTTGCCTTCATTGCGCAAAGAGTGTGAGTTTTTGATATACATTATTCAACCTTCTCTTCTAGTGTGTATCTTTTTCTCCAACAAGCACCATACTTCTTTCTTTAAGTGAAAAAAATTGAGAAATCAATCTAACTTATGCTAGTCATTGTTTCTAGCCTTGTGCTAGCCATTTTTTTTGGCCTCAATGTCAACCATATTTCTAGTATTATACAACTCGTTGTGATTCAGTAGGGTGACGCCACTTAAACTGCTCACCATAAGATGTAGGAGATCTTTGTAGTTGACATGCATGATGATGCATTATATATGATGTATAAGTTTTTATAAGATGATATGTTAAATTTTTTTCACTAGCTTACCTTGTGTTTTCCTTGTAATTGGAATTGAGATGATCATACTTGGTATGAGAGTATGATAGGATTAGTAGGATGGCTTGTGCATTTAGGAGGCTAGTCACACTGGAGGTGGCTAGAATTTTGTTGTGGTTGGCTACTCTAATGTAGTCAAGTTTTATATAGACGTTGACCAACATCTAGGTTTATATTTCAATTGGTACTATATAATGTATATAGCATGTATATATTTAATACTAGATACTATTTGTATTATAAACTCTAGTTTTGATGTGTGTTATTCAATCTTCTGCTATGCAATAATTTCTCAACAGTAAATGTAGTGACCTACCCGATTATTAGAGTAATCATGTTTATAATTTGTCCAAGTGGTTGTAATCATCAATCTATGAGTGCATATGGGTTACTATAGGAACCCTAAAGATAGAGAAAATTGAATTAGTAAGTAACAATTAATCTTTGTATGAGAGAGTATGTAATTGACAGTTTAATTGTATAGATTTAGGCTTTAATTGTGGGTTGGTGCAAGAATAGAAAGTTTAGAGGTTGAACTCGTGCTTCGGATAGAGTTTCAAATTGTTTTGGAACTTTGTTCTTATAGCACAACCATGTTTATTGTGAAGCATGCCCATGCTTAAGTAAGCACACATGTGCTGATTTTATGCATGACCATACACCTTGTTAAAGTTCAAATTGGTTTTTATGGTCTTAATGAAAGTCGTAGCCCTAGATGTTAGGTTTCAAATGCCATTGGAATCACCTAAAAAGAAGGTCTATAAATCAAGTTATAGTCAAATTAGTGAACGGAAGTCAAGTTGTAAGATTTAGGTTGAAATGTTATGGTTTTGTAATTTTTAAAAATAACAAATACCAAAAGTAACTCTTGAGGTCAACAAAGAAGTTTTAAATAATTGTCTTAGATTTATAAAAAAAAAAAAAAGTAATATCAACTTGATGTCATGTTATAGCTCTAAATATAGTGTTTAGACCACACGAGATCATAGAAAATTATGTTACAAAAATACAATTTGTGAATAGTGATAGTGAATCATTTTACCCTTTACATGTATGATCTAATGAATGACTTTATCCTATAAATGTTTGGTTCTAATTGAGGTATTTAGTGGTGTGTCTTATGATCATGATTTACAATATTAATAGAGATATGAGAATATGATTAAATGATGAGTTGAGTGAGTAGGTTGAGACTTGATTTTAAATATCAAGACTTACTAATCAAGTGTATATGTGATGGTGATCTGATGTGCTTGCATGTGTGTGATAATAATATGGTGTTATGTGTGAACCATGTGAAATGATTGATTATGACTTGAAAAGTATGTGTAATTGAGGATATTGTGTGGGATTTTTATGGTATGCTTACATGTATCTTAGATAAGTGAGTCTTAATACTATCAAATATGTCCTATGTGAAAATATGTGATGAGTACTCTGACTAAGTCTAAGTCTATCTTAGTAGTATAAAAATCTAGGTGATTGGCCTAGCAAGGACATGATTAATGCGATGTGTAACTGTATATATGTAAATTGTGAATGTGATTAGTATGACCATACATAGAGTTTGTGTGACATGCATCATATGCATTATGCGTTTTTGTGATAGATACAATGTAAAATATGTTGTCAAGAAAGGCCCCATTAAGTAAAAGCTTGGGTATTTATAATTTTGGAGACAACTGGATTTGGGAGCCTTAGTCTCGTATAGGGATGGCAAAAATACTCGTACCCGTGAGTATCTGTGGGTAAAATCCGCTACGGATAATAAATGGATATGCTAATTGGGTACCCGCAGATAATGGGGACGGATAATTTTTTACCCGTTTATAAATAGGGCGGGGGAGGGTATGATGATATCCATACCCGCGGGTACCCGTTTAATAATATTTACTAAATATCCTAATTATCCTTGTTCCACATAACCCTAAAGCTACACTCTCATCTTATTTTCTTTCCATAGAATTATGTTGGATGTAAATTGATTAATTTTATAGCTTTGATTGGACCAATAAGATTTATGTATTTTAAGTTATTTACTTACGTTTGAAATTATGAGATTGAATTATTGTAGCTTTGTGATATGAGACTTTCACATACTTGTGTAAGATTGATGTATTTTAAGTGATTGATTCTCTTGCATCTTTATTATTGTTTCAACAATTAACGTTAAATACAAATTCAAAATTAACATTGAATTTTTATTTTTAATATTTCAATGACATTAAATATAAATTTAAAATTATTTGTAATATAATTTTTTTAATTTCTTAAAAAATTTATAAATATCCATGGATATCCATGGATATCCGTGGGTATTCAAGAAATTCATGGATACCCGCTTAATGGATACCCGCGTGGATATGGGGTGGGTATAGGGCCAATTTTCATAAGCGGGGTGGGGGTGGGTTTACTATTGCCCGCCCCATGGGGCCCCATTGCCATCCCTATCTCGTCTGCTTGTGTGCATGGGATGAAACTTGAGCGATAAAATTATCCTAACATACCACTAGTATATTTTCTCCAAGTGTAGAGTGTTATGATGGCTTGACTTGACATGTTCTCCTAGGCTACTCATGCCTCCAAGCTAGGATAAAGTGATTTTACTAGCATCACATGCACATAGTTTTAGGAAAGTCTTGACCATTGCATGATCATAGCATACTCATTGTTTTTTGAATTATGAATTATATGGATATTGAGATGTGTGGAACAAGTCTTGTTATATCATGTGAATATTGTATATTGTTTAGTATACCTTGATTATTGAGAATTATAAATGTGATTAATGATATTTGTTGTTGCTTTATATGCATAGTTATTGTTATGTATGTGTATAGCTACCTAGTCATTTTCTACACTGATAGTTGAAGTGAGATGTTTCTCACTCCTTTTTCTTTTGGTGTTTTGTTTTGTTGTATATGCGCAAGTAATTTTTATTATGGTAATGTTGGATGAGAAGTCTAAGTTTTATGTTGGAAATGCTTTAATAGGATTTGATATTAAGGGGTTAGTTAAGGAACTATTTTATATTATTACTTGTATTAGAGATTTAGATTCTCTCTTAGAGTTGTTTTAGCATTAGATTAATATTCCTTGTAATTGTTTTTAAATTTAGCTTTCTTATTTTGGAGATTCGTATTTAATGTGATATTTCTATCTTGAGTTTTAGTTTATTAAAAAAAAAATAGTATTATACTTATTGAATTTATGTTTGTAGAATAGAGGGTGTTACAATTATGTTATCATGAAATTGGATTTTAGGTTAGTGTACTAAAAAAAATTACAAATGTTTCTATAATAAGTTAATTTGTTAGGGGTTATTAGGTCATTACCCAAAAGTGTCATAACTTATAAAACATTGTGTATCCACTAAAACATTACATATTGAATTCCAAATAGAATATTTAATTGATACAATAAAAGGTTCAAATTTTATTATAAAATGAATCCAAATCAAAGTACAAATGAATTCTCTTTAAACAAGCCCAAAATAATAAAATGGCTATTAGTCACACATGTTTTTAAGTGCACTAGTTTGCTATAGTAGCATTATTTATAGCTCAATGGTACCAAAATTAATCTTATAAACATATGTGTATATATTTTTCAAAATATTTTAATAAATTATACGCGAAAATAAATAGAATGTGAACATTGTCTTAACTTCAGCGACTTCTTTATCTAATAAAAGGCATAAGGAGGTACTCTACGGACAACAACTACAAAAAGAAACAAGAGATCAGTACAATATTATGTTTCACTTTATACGAAAAAAATATATAATTTAGTGCATATAATTTGGAAAAAAAATACAAATAAGCTCATAATAATTCATTGTATGTTTTATGTTTCAAACAATATTGAGGTTTTCACAAAAAAAAAAATGAGTTAGTTCTATATATGATTAGTTAGACAAGCTTAAGCTTAGAAATTCATGTCACAAAAAAACTTGAATTTAGTTAACTCACTCCATCCTTATATTTTGTATTTTAGTTGAAAATTATAAGTTATTAGAATTTAAATAACCTTATTTTTCAAAATAAATGAAAAGTAGTCAAATAACAATTTCTTTTAAATAATAATCTTAAAATCAAACACTTAAAATGGTAAACAATATTTATGATTATTACCTTCCAGATGAAAAAATAGAAGGAAGATATGGAAGCTTTATTTTCCAAATCTACATATTTGGCCTGGTACCAGACAATTGAAGCAAGAATAGCATGTCCAAGACCCTAAAACATTGTCAACAAATAAATTTCAAACATTATTAGAAAGTGTTAAGAAATTTTATATTTACTTATATTGACCCATAAAACAATAGACATGCATTTTCTCCTAAAAATATATTTGTTTTCAAAATCAATTTACTAATAATATCATTAAGTTTTTAACTTCAAATAATTTGTACAACAAAAAAACAAATTTCCTATGAAAATATTTCTTCATTTTAACCGTAAATATTTTCCATATTACAATCTTAAAATATTAAACATGTCACATTCTAATAAATTTTGTATATATAAAGAAATTCAAAGGGTAAAGAAATTATTAATACTTTCTCTCAATTTGTTTTGGCTTATATTGGTACCATGACCAAGAACATTTATTTTTGCACTTTTTTTTGTATTCTAATTAATCAAGAATATAGTTTATTATGTTACATAGTAATTATTCCTATCAAACTTAGTAGTTTGAATACTTTCTTGCAAAATGGAGGAAAAATGGAATACATATAATAATAAGATTATATAAATATTAGTGTTGTTTCCAAAAAAGATTTAAAAAATACTAATGATAATAAATATATAATCCTATTTAATAAAAAAATAATTTAGGATATATAAGAAAATTAATTATATAAGAGATAAAATAAATTTCTTTAAATCACAATACAACCAATATATTATAAGATCTGTTTGTTATATATTCTAATACTTGCTAATCAAAATATACCTTCATCCTTTGGTGCAAAACAAATGATATCCTAAGTGTAACAAGGATATTATACTCTTATAATTTTAATTTATAAATGTAATAAGCAGATTACCGTGACAATTTTACTCCAATTGTAAGGAGATGTTGCTCCTGCTAGAAGGGCGACTCCAAAAGCCATTTCAAAAAGAAAAATACAAGTCCAGAATACCTAATAAATATTAGTTAGGAATAATCAAGGTATACACAAAAGGGTATAACCAATTATATTAAGTTGTATTTAAAGAACATACATGTTTTTGACCAAAACGTGATGAAAAAGAATAAATGCCAAATTTTGTATCTCCTTCAATATCGGGTATATCCTATAAATCCAATAAAAGGTTTTACATTAGGAAAAGATATTGAACTAAAAGTTTGATTTGAAAACACATGTATGTTTTGAGAAATTGGTGGACTTTACCTTGCACAATGCTATGCCTATAGAGTAGAAACCCATGAATGCAATCATAGTAATCAATGATCTTGGAAAAATAGGTGGCCTTTTGAATACAAATGTCTGGAAATCATTACATGAATTAGCAATAAAAAAAATGGTTTCCTTTCATTTTTATTCCTTTAATTAATAAAATGGAAGCATTGTTAGAAAATATGTCATTCCTATGACTATTTGGCAAAAATATCCTAATATGTAAAGAAGGTTGTCTCAATTGAGATCTCGTGACTTGCATGTAAATCTTTACAATTTATTAACAATTATTTAGTTATAAGATCTTTATTTTCCAAGTGAGACAGTTATAGCTACCATAGTTTGATATATCAAAATAATTGTGCATACTAGACTAAAGCAATTAAAATCAAGTTATCGTTCTTTGTACACAATATTTTTTCTTTAGATTTCTAATTCACATATTATTTAGTTCCAGTTGATGACATCAAATAGTTTATCACAAATCCAACAAACCAACCCTAAAAGTTTTGGATAAGGGTTTGTCATTATTGATACTCATCATAAAACTAGATGTCTTCTTTTTTTAAAATAAAGGCACAATTAGCCATAAGATAAAACCTGCATGTGAAGGAAAAATGAAATTGGAAATATAATTGTCCAAGTAATAAAAATGCACATTGCTGCAAGTAGTGGATTTCCCTTCCATCTCAACAAAGGCACCTGAAAAGTTTCAAAACATTTTTATCACCATCAAACAATTTTTGACATAAGACTTTCTTTAGTATGTGTTTTTTGAAAAAGAAATATTAATTTATTTTCTTCTAATATCTTTGTTTGTACATGAATAATGAATTTATTCTTGGTACATAAGGGAATAGTAATAATCTCTTAGGCCACTATAGGATGATCAAAGGTAATGTTATAAAAAAAAGAAAGTAAGAAAACCCTTTTTGAGAGGGGAAGAGCTCTAAAGAGTAGTAAGAGAATATCCTTTGATAAGGAAAATATGAATAAAAAAGAACAATAAGGATACAACTTGATTATGAGTTCAAATCTAAGATATAGGATGAAAAAGAAAAACATCGTATTCAAAGCATGCAAAACTCTAGATTGTGTTTCTATGATTTTGTAATATAATGCCTTATGTAAATAGAAAGTTATTACTCATGTATTTTATTTTATGTATCATCTTAGTGTTGTATTTTTAGGGAACTCATTAGGATAAAGTATCCCCAATTAATTTTTAATGTTTTAGATTTAGTAGGTTATGAAGTAATAATAGTTGGGAATTATTTTCCAAAATGCTATAATTTTAATAGATTTTTATTATTTATGATTTGAAGTATACCTTTCTAAGGAAAGACCTATAGATTGAGGCCTAGTTCACAAAGGTTTGACATTATTCTTGTCTAAGAAGATTGTAAAAGTACCTTGGTTACTTTAGTTATAAATATATGCACATAAGTCCATAACTATAATTTGATTTCTTATAAGATGACATTAATTTTTTTCTAGATTTAATATTTAGTTAAGGTAATGTTAGAAAGGGTGTTATGTAATATCTCATTTTTCATAAGTTAAATAAAATAAATGTTTATCAAAATAATTTTATTTTTTATTTAATTAATTTAGTTAATAATACAATAATATTTTTATAAATAAAATAAAAATAAAAAGGGTTTATAAAGAAAAGAGCTTTAGGTTGGACTCATAAGTCTAACTTAAAGGCTTATTAAAAACGAAAAAAAATAAGGGGTAGGTCATTTTTCTTATGTGTCTGTCTATTTTGAACTTGAGGAGCACTTGTAAAGGAAAACTCAGAGAAAGTCACTAAAGAAAGTACAAAGTAGTAGTTTAGGCTACGAAAGGATGGTGTGCTACGAAATCATTACTCAAGATGAAAGAAGTGAGGATGTTGAATCTATATGGGCACATATGAGACATATGGGTAGTGAGACAATCTCTAAGCCTCTTAGGTTTCTGAATGAATTTCTATGAATGTTTATCTCTGATCTATGTATGAAACTACTAATGTATGATGCCTATGGTTGAATTTTCATGATTGAATTATTGGTGTACATAATTTACTACTTGGAAGGTTAGGGTAAAATGTATAAAGTGCGATTTCTTATGAAATTGGATGAATTTGTATGAATTGGTCTAGATACGTATTCTATATATGTTATGCAATGTTTTTACTAAATTTTTAGTGAAAGACACGATGAATGTGTCTTGATGGGTTTTAGGAGAACCCAGATCATGTAGCTTGTGATTTTACAAAGTGCAGAATATGTGACAATGACAAGCATGCCTTCCTGGTGTCAAGAAAAATGAATAGATTCTCATTGTTGGTCATGAAATCAGTCTCACCTGGTGCCATTGTGACGATGTCTTGGAGAAAAAGTTACATCAGACATGACTTGGATCATGTCAGGCGATTTTGTTCCAGAGGAATCTTGACTCCTCAATGTTGGGCATGACAGAATCCATGTCAAACATAATTTAAGCAGAGAGGTCCTTAACTCCACATTGAGTGTTTGCATTACCATGTTAGGCGCGAATCTATTAAAGATATATATCCCTTATCTCTCCGCACTAGGTACAAATTCAATCTCGCCAGGCTATTATTGAATTAATTGTTTTTATGAAGGTAATTAAATAATGGAGGGACCTACGAGGAGAAGTTAATGTTAGATTTGAAAGAAGAGAATAAAGAAGTTAGCAATTGTGATAAATCAAGAAAAGAAAGAAATATATGAAGAAGGATTATAAGTGTGCAAATTCAAGCATGGTGTGTTGTGAATGAATGATAATGATATTGTGATGATGCATGACGATGATGTATGATGATGAGAAAGTATGATGATGTTGATAAGCTTTATGTTAGTCCAAGATGCCATTGTCAATGCACTACAAGAAAATTCGCTATTATAGACGGCCAAAATCCGTGGGTAATAGTGCATTTCCCACAGATTATTGACGGACACTAATCCGTCGGTAAATTGCTCGTCTGAAATATTTACCGACAGATTTTTATCCGTGGGTAACTTTCCGACGGATTTTCCCACGGATTTATCCGTGGGTAATTACCCACGGATTTACCCATGGATATATCCGTGGGAAATTACCCTGGACGAATTTTTCTTCAAAAATTATAATTTTTTTAATTTTAATAAATTTAGTAATGTAACAACCCTCATATTTGGCCTTTCAAGAGTTCTATTTCACGATATTTCATTGTTTAGCATGTTTTATCCTTACTTGTGCAATTTCTGGGAAACTTCCCAGAAGGTCACCCATCCTTGTACTACTCCAGGTCAAGCACGCTTAACTGTGAAATTCTGATGAGTAAGCTACTGAAATGTATATGTATGTTGTCAGTATAACTTGTACAAATTAATTCATTTAAGTCATCCTCAAATATACAATCTCATATTTGTACTATAATAATAATATATAATAATTTTATATTACAAATAATAATAATTAATAATAATAAAATATTTAATTATTACTTATTTATATGTACTTACTTTTATAATTAAGGGTTTAGGGTTTAGGGTTTAGGGTTTAGGGTTTAGGGTTTAGACCAACATAATTTTAGGCCAACATCCCTCTCAACATTTGACATTAATAAGAGGCACATATCCCTCACAAATTTGTGACAGATTAAATCTGTCACAAATTTGTGAGGGAATCACAAAATCCATCACAAATTTGTGACGGATTAAATTCATCACAAATTTGTGACGAAGTCACAAATTCCGTCACAAATTTGTGACGAAACAAGTCCCTCACTAAGTTCGTCACAATTTGTGACAGAAATTTATTAATTTATGAACATTTAATATTATAAATTAGCGACGGAATTTGTGATGCCTTAATTCCGTCACTGATTGTGACGGACTAAAATTATCCGTCACTAAATATTTTGTGATGCCAATTTTTGTGACGAAATCAGTTCCGTCACAAATTTTGTCACTAATTTGTTTTGTGACGGATTTTATACTGTTTTGTGAAGGATCCATTCCCTCTCAAATTTAAATTTTTCTAGTAGTGGGTGCTTAGATAGGCCACTGGTTTAGGTGAGTCTCCTCTAAGTCCTTAGCTAGTGTTGGAGCGGAGTATGAGAGGGTGAGGGTTATTCCCTTAACCAAGTACTAGGGAAGGTGCGTGGTTCCTTGCGGATATTCGGTGGGTGAACTCCACAAGTGACTTGGTAATGCATGCCAAGGTCGTGGTAAGCTTGTACCCAGCTGTGCTATACCTGATGGTGGAACCAGACTTCCAATTGTATAAGTGCCATCATTCGAGTAAACCCGAGTGAGGATTTATATCCTGTTTAGTTGTTACCGAGCGGGCGCATTAGGCGTGAAAACGGTTGGGGTGGTTTCGATAGGATTGGGATGTCACTTATACTGCTCTGTTGTCACTACAAGAAAAATGATGAATTGCGGCGGATAAATTGCGACGGTTATCCTGAAACTGTCGTCGCTTTGATATTATTGCGACCCTTCATATGACGGTTTCTCCCAACTGTCGCAAAATTTTTTAACATTGCGACGGTTTCTCTCAAAATCGTCGCAAAATTTTCAAACATTGCGACGGTTTCTCCCAACCGTCGCAATCTACAAGACAAAAATTGAAATAAAAATTCACACAAAGTTATGCACACTCCAAAATTATATAATTTTACTTTTAATAAAAAATAGAAAATATAATCATAATGACATGTAATTACATTTAGAAATGTTAAACATGAAAAAATACTTTAATATACTATATTAATTTTATTTCTCTAGTTATTTTATTTTTTTATGCATTATATGTAATGTTTTACTAATGATTTAAACATTGTAAACTTGACCATAATGTTATAAAAGTATTTATTAATGGTCAAAGATACATTTTAATGTTATTACTTGCAATTATGTTTTATGAAATATGTCTTATGTTTAACATCATATTTGTTATTGGTTATTTTATATATAATTTTCAGGTATGACATCCGGTTCAAGAAAAAGAAGTTCAAAAGAAAGCAAAAGAAAAACTCCTGCCACCTCGGACAGAGCAGCTGGTCCTAGATTACCACAAATTGAAGAAGTTCTAAATCAGACACGTTTTTTCAGCCAGCGTGATCAGATGATTAAATATGGCAAGGAGTTTTACCACAGGATAGTCCTTCATCCAAAGGTTATGGACTTTAGCTACTTTGCCACATCAGGGCTGTATTTTCACCACCATTTAGAATATCAAGGTTTGCAGCATTTTGTGGCTCTCAAATGTGATTTCTTTGAAGATCTTATTAAGGTCTTCTATTCCAACTTGAGAGTATCTGAAGCTGGTTTCCTCTATAGTGACGTCAACAAAACAAAGATAAAAATAAAACCATCTGATTGGTTATCTCTGGTTGGTTTGAAGTATCAGGGGCACAAATTAGCATTTCCGAACATCCCATAGGAGATGCAGTTCGACCGTCACATAGCACTGACATCTATGATTAGACCAGAGCTGCAGGGCCGAAATGTCAGAAATGTAGGAAGTCTTAACATTAACGATAGACTCCTACATTATGTCTACGTCCATATATTGGCTCCCAGATCAAGTAACTTTTCCCAACTCTTGCAGGAAGACATTTTTCTGTTATGGGCCTTAAAGAATAACATTTTGATCAACTGGCCCCATTATATCATGCAACACATGGTCAAATGCAA